CTCATCGAGCCCCTGGCAGCACTGGACGTGCAGTGGTGACGCCCTTCCTGAAGCCACCAAGAATCCTGCCACTGACTCGGCCTTCTTCCACCGTTATGTCGAGTGCGGCGGTCTTTCAGCAAGTTCGGCCAGCGGCTGGATACGATGGTCGTCATGTCGCATGTGGCACCCATGAATACGGGGCGCTTCCTCAACTATGTCCTTCTCATGCTGGGCCGGTTCGTCTGCGAGAAGGACCTGTTCTTTGCCGGCAACCTGCAGAAGGCCTTCTACCGTGCCCGGCTCGTCACATCGCTATCGTTCGCCGGTACACGATGGAGGTCCTGCGCTTCGAGCCCGCCAGCAGCAAGTGAGTCGACTGGACAGCTGCGAGGACCACACAAGCCCTGTGTGTATCTGTGTGTGCGGATGTCTCCCTCCTCCGTCCTTGAAGCATGTTCTGTCGCTACCATCAGTGATGTCCTTTTGCGCAACACCATCGCCTACCCCGGCACGCCACTGGTACGGCATAGGACACAACTGCAATAGTCCCAGCCGGCCCCACACCCCCCGATGACCAGAGGGGGGTGTGGCGGCCGGCTGGCTGCGTACTGCACGAGTGTGCGTCGCTCACTTCCTCCTTGTTCTTCTCGCGTGTGTCCCACCCTCAGATCGACACGACGACGCCGGCCTTGGCGAGGCCCGAGGCGGTGCAGGCCGCCATGGATGTGCGACGCAATCGGCTTCTCGACTTCCTCGAGACACATTTTATACGGCGGCCTTGCTCGCTACGCACGACACACGAGAATGGGCTGGTGTTGTGTTCTCTCGGTCTCTCTCCTCTCTCTCTCTCGGCTTGTCACAAACAGTTGTGTCGCGTGCTCGTGCCTGTCCTCTGTTTTAGCGGGCGACTGTATGTGCCACGGCAATAAATGTCAATGGGGTGTGCGACATTTTTTGGTTGACCTCCGTTAACTGATGATGTGCGTTGCAATGATCGTACCCGGCTGGCACAAAAAATTTCCCACGAAACGCACCCAAACCCAACACCTCGAGATCGCCCGTTCTTGTCATCACATATAGTCGGCCGCTGCGAGCAGTAACGACGTTGGCATCACGGTTTCTTCACCCAAATTCCACACGAGTTGCGTCTTCAGAATGCAACCGATATGAGCACGGTCCACCGTGCGTTATCGGGCGTTCGGAGACGCGAGTGGATCGAGCGCTTGCGAGCTGCGTGGGTCATGCGTGTCTGGCTGGCTGTGAGCTGATATCTGTCCGCCTTTGTTCGCGGCGGCGTTTTCGTTCTTCATCGGGATGTCAGAGCATCGTCAGCTGCCTGCATAGCTCCAGACGCTGGCAGACAGATCATCCTCCTCCTCAGCTTAGCACCCGCTACCCCTCCCGATGGAGACACTTCAGGCACAGATCCAGCAGCTGTTGGCCGACCGCTTGGAGTTTGCTTCCGAGTTCAGCGCACGGCTCTTGCCACCCACCGCCTCAGGATCCGCGCACTCAAGGTTTGGGTGAATGTTGGGATGGACACCGGCACGCTGCAGCAGTCGTAAGAAGGGTGGGTGGAGGGATGGGAGGACCACACACACACGCGCACACACATACGCCACTGAGGGTGGCGTTTGCGGCGAGGGTTCTGGGTGCTGTGGTTTTGCGGTTCTGAAGGCTTTGTGTAGGCTTGGTGTGGTGTGGCTTTTGCGGTTCTGAAGGCAATGCCATGACATGCGTCGTCAGGTACGCGGGGGGGACCGAGCAGGTAGGATGAGAATAACACACCGGGGAGGTAGGAAGGGTCCGGGGTAGTTAGTGATTCGAGCCTTTACACCACGTTCGTCGGCTTCGCATGTCTTGCCTATCGGTCTCTTTACCGCTTTTGCTGTTTGCGTCGCTAACCTTTCTTGTTGCCTGTCTGCTTCTAATGTTGCTGTCGTTCGCCCGTTTCGCAGGTCTTGTTGCTGGGCGCGTGTCGTGCCTACCTGCTTGCTTATCTCTTCTGCCGCCTTTCTCGCTGCCAGCTATTCGCACGTTTGACTGCCTTTCTCGCTGCCTCTTTGCTTCCTTGTATCATGCATTTGTCGGTCCGTCGGCCATCGCCATCGGTCACATGTCTTACGCTTACCTCTCGCCGCCGCTCTCGCTGCTTCTCTGCGGGTTTTCTGTGTGTGTGTTGCAGGTCTGTGTGAAAGTATCGAGATCTCGAGCTGTTCGTCGTTGCTGTCGCGCTGCCTACGTCGCGCTGCTATTGTTGCGCTGCGTGTGTCGTGCTGCCATTGTCGCAAGTGTCGTGCTGCCATTGTGCGCTGCAAGTGTCGTGCTGCCATTGTCGCGCTGTCATTGTTGCGCTGCCTCTGTCGTGCTGCATCGGTCGTGCTGCTTCTGTCGTGCTGCCATTGTCGCGCTGCCTCGGTTGTCGCGCTGCCTCTGTTGTTGTGCTGTCAGTGTTGCGCTGCCTCTGCCGTGCTGCTTCTTTCGTGCTGCCTTTGTCGCGCTGCCCTGTTGTCGTGCTGCTTCTTTCGTGCTGCCTTTGTCGTGCTGCCCTGTCACGCTGCCTTTGTCGCGCTGCCTCTGTTGTCGCGCTGCTATTGTCGCGCTGCCTGCTATTGTCGCGCTGCCTCTGTTGTCGCACTGCCACTGTCGCGCTGCCTCTGTTGTCGCGCTGCCTCTGTCGCACTGCCTCTGTTGTCGCGCTGCCTTTGTCGTCTTGCCCCTATCTTGCTCGCACTGCGTGTGCCGTGCTGCCGCTTTCGCGCTGCGTGTGTCGCGCTGCCTCTGTCGTGCTGCCTCTATCTTGCTGCCATCGTTGCGCTGCCTCTGTTGTCGCGCTGCCTTTGTCGTGCTGCCATTGTTGCGCTGCCTCTGTTGTCGCGCTGCCCCTGTCGTGCTGCCTCGGTCGTGCTGCCATTGTTGCGCTGCCTCTGTTGTCGCGCTGCCACTGTCGTGCTGCCATTGTCGCACTGTGCATGTCTTACTGCCGCTGTCGTGCTGCCAGTGTCGTGTTGCCATTGTCGCGCTGCCTCTCTCTTCTCTGCTTTTCTTCGCTACTCCTTCCCCATGGTCATGGGATTGGGGGGTTGGGGGTGGTACGTGCGCGTCTGTCGTGTGTCGCACGGGCCCTCACGTCGCTGGGCGCAGGCCGAGCCCCCCAATCCCATACTGACCACCCCTGTGTGTCTGCGTGTCGGGCTGTCGGCTGGCGCTGAGGAGCCGCGTTGGAGAATGCAACCGATATGAGCACGGTCCACCGTGCGTTATCGGGCGTTCGGAGACGCGAGTGGATCGAGCGCTTGCGTTGCGAGCTGCGTGGGTCATGCGTGTCTGGCTGGCTGTGAGCTGATATCTGTCCGCCTTTGTTCGCGGCGGCGTTTTCGTTCTTCCCACCCACCCGCCCGCCTTGTCTGTTGTGATCGTGCATCTGTTTACTTCTACATCCCACCGTTATACGTCATCTCATTTTGCGCATCATGCGTCGCTCATGGATGTCTATCATGCCGTCCTTGCGGTCTGTGCTTAGCGGCCTGCGCGCCGTGTTTGCTGCTCAAGATCTATGCTCTTGCTCGTCGTGCATTGCAAATCGTCGCACTTAGAAGGCTGCGCCCCCGCTCTTGACAGTGTTCGTCGGAGTGCCCGGTGCTACAGGGTGGCATGAAATGACACGCAGACAGTTAACACACGAGAAGAAACATGACACTGAAGAGCATTTGCCCTCATCGTTGATGATATACCGCTGCGCTGATGAAGGGAGGGAGATGTCAGCATCTCCCCCGTGTTCTAGAATTGAGCAGTCTTTAGGGTAGCCGTTGTGAAACTGACATGCTAGTACAGAATAAGGGCACCGGCCTTATTCTGTCAAGCGAGTTAGGGAAGAACAAAACACGAGGATGATCGAGGCAGAATCAAGCAGAAGACCATAGACTTGGAGTTAATCGTTGATATTTGATGTCACTGCTGTTTCTGGAAGTATTCGTACACTCCAGTGTGGCCACTCGGGCCCTCTGGAGGTCTGTGTAGTGTCCGACGTTCAAACTCAAAGCAGTCACACGTACCACTAGACACCGCTCCATCTGGGATACCGCCCGGGAGCATTTTGGTGCATCTGCCGTGAATCGCAATACGCGGCTGAGTGACATCGTGTTTGAACGGTTGACTGGACACAATGGCGAAGACCCGAAGTGGTCGGGACACGCAGAAGCCACCTTCTGCACGAGTAGCGAGGCCTGTTGCCAAGGCTAAGCCGAAGAAGAGACTCAGTGTGAAGCGTCGGCAAGGCGCACGTGTGAGTGAACTGTTACGTCGAATGACTCGTCAACACAAAGTGAAGTCCTCACACGATAATGTGGGCAGTGTCTCAGCGATACAAGAGGCACAGAACGAACCAAGTGTGTCAGCACACACCACTTGATGACACAGCAAGTATAGTTATGCTGCCACAGGCAGCCACGAATCGAGGGGAGGGTCATATACCACTCCAACCACAGCATGGCACGCAGAACAGCAGCCCAACGGATGGGCTGGCGACACAGCTGATGGCGGCCATGCAACATTTGTCCAAACCACCAGCCCTCCGCCCATTCGATGACAAGTCGGATCAGAGCATTTCTGACTTCATCACAGGAGTTAGGGCACAACGTCTGACCTACCCACACCTGCCTGAAGAGCACTCCATACGATACGTATGTGAGGGTATACAAGGGCGTGCAAGAGACAAGTTGAATGAGTGGATCTGTTCGCAAGAGAAGGACCCGAACAGCGTGTATCTGAACGGCGATGGGCCAGCTAAACTCGAAGCTCTCTTGGGGTACTTGGAGAAGCAATTCGGCCGGAGTAAATCCCGAACACTCGTCCAGAATGAGAAGCTGAAAGCCTGGAAGCCGAATCCAAAGCACGACTTCAAGCAATCACTCGACGAGTTCTCTGACCTTCATCGAGGTGCCGATATGAGTGAGCAGGAGGCCGTCCGTCTGTTTGTCGAATCTCTCCCACTTGAGATGAAGCGCCACATGCTCACCAGATGTGTCGACCCCTCCACATTCGAGTTCGTTAGGAAGCTGGGGGATGAGGCGCAAGTGGCTGTGGGACGGTTGTTGAGCAGAAAGCGTCCACACAGGCAGGATGCGAATGAAGACGAGAGCGACGCCGAAAGAACAAGACCTTCAAGAGCCCCTCGATGCGAGATAAATGCGCTTGAGCAACGACCTGACAACAACGACAAGAACAAAGCCAACCGAGTGGATGCCCCAAAGCGACGTGATGAGCCACAGCTGTCCATCGATGCCATCAGGGCAGACGTGACCGCTCTTCAGGAGCAGATGGGTGCCATGGACAGGCACAAGAAGGGAACGACAGGGCCTGCAACACACACACAGAGGGACAGCAGGCAGTGGAAAGGACGACCCGCATTTTTGGGCAGGTGTCTTTATTGTCATCTACTTGGACACAGATGGAGGGATTGCAGGAGACGGCCACCTGATTGGGTGCCAGGCGGCTGGCGGCCTTACCCAAACCGACCGCAACAGCCACGAGAACCTGCACTGACAGGGACAAACACAGTGCCGCAGAGACCTCTCCCTGTGTCGAACCTTCCGCAGCTGGGAAACGGATGAGTCCTCCGTGGCAGGGCACGCGAGAGGACTCGAATCGATCAGTTGACGCCCTGAGCAAGACAACCATGAATGAATGCAATGTCATACGTGAATCTGTGAATGATGTGAATGAGTGTAGTGTCGTGCATGTACCTGATGTGTTGTGTAAAGTGTGTGAGCCGTTTGTGAACGTGCCCATGTTGAGAGCAACTGCCAATTCGTCACATGTGCCCGGCCTGTCAGGATGCAACCATACAGACAGACAGACAGACAGCCAGACAGCCAGACAGCCAGACACACAGATAGCCAGCAGTCCTGAGCCGGAGGATCCGAGAGGTGCATCGGCTGCGCGACAAATGAGGTCCCCTGGTGCATCAGCGGATGGTGTGGGAGGTGCATCGCGTCTTGTATCTCCATCCCGTCAGTTGAGTGGAACTTGCATCCCTAGTCGATCAAGCATCCCTAGTCGTCGGTCTAGCGGACCAGCTGTCACTAGTCGATCAAGTCTGTCCCGAGCCGGTAGTTGTGGGCCGCCACCGATGACAATTGACGGAGGGCTGAAACTGCGTAACGAGGCCGGATCCAGCCAAGCCCTCGTTTGTGGCCGGCGGGAAGAGGGGACGCCTTCTTGTCCGCCTGCTGCGCCTGAAAAGAGTGACGAATATGAGTGTCAGTTGAACCATATGCAATGCACTGATGATGCAGTGCGGGCGGCTCACTTACATGTATGTGAAGGGGATGTTGTGGGTGGTTCTGAGGAAGCGATGCAGTGCTGCGCTGTAGAAGATAGGCGAGAGAGACGACGTGGGCTCGTGCCGACCGTTAGATGGCAGACCTCCGTGCGAATGAGAGCAAATGGTGTGACAGTGGATGTGCTCGTTGATACTGGTGCCGACCTGAGTGTGATGAGCACCAAGATGCTAGACAGGCTGCGAGAGGAAGGGGACAGAGAAGTGACGATATGTCCAGGCGTCATGACGCTCAGCGTGCTACACCATGGTGAGGTGGCGGTCGAAAAGGTCGCAAGAGTCGCCTTGTGGCCTGACACAATAGACACACAGACAGCAGCCACCAATCCGCTGTCTGTCGATTTCTATGTCATCGATGACTCCAAATGTGTCGCCTTACTGGGAGGCAAGGCGATTCGCGAAGAAAGGTTCATCGTTGACCATGAAACCGGGAAAGTACGTGTCACATCACGACCAGAATGGCCACCTATGGACATACACGCACCACAGACATGTGGGATAAATAGCCTGAGTGTCATGGCTTTTGGCCTGACTCGAATCGACGCACCTGCGGACGGGAAAAGATTGAGCTACCAGGTCCATATCACGGCAAAGACACCCATCCCAGCCGGCACGGAGACATGGGTGCTAGCACGATTGAAGGGACCTGACAGACAGATAAAAGGGGAGGTTGGTCGTCTGTTAGTGCATCCAGCACTCGCATGCCACAGAGGCGCATGGCTTTGTGTAGACGACGAGACGAGCGAAGTCGTATCAGGTCGTTGTGTGTATATCAGGATCAGCAATCCGTCACATAAGAGGGTCGTCTTACCCAAGAATCACTTGCTGGGCTGGTTTGATGTACTCCCTTCCATGCCCACAATGCAACGACCTGTGGACGAAACGGGACGGATTGCGGCAGTCAAGGTGGCTGATGCTGATGTCGTACCTTGCGAGATTGATAAGAGAGCGGATCGATCACTTGATGGCCACACAGCCGCAAACAGAGGACGTTCGTAGCTACCCAGATGCTGATGAAATCACCCACGACATACAAGTCGGCAAAGGCCTGACGAACCAACAGAAAGAACAGGCAGTGGATGTGATCAAAGCAGCACAACAGACGGGCGTGTTTTCGTGCGACAAGAACGACCTTGGCCATGTCGATCCGTCTCTCGGTGCCCATCGCATCAGTGTCAGTGGCATTCCTCCGTACATGAAGCCTCGTAGGCTGGCTCAGATTGAGCATGAGGAAGCAGTGAAGATAGTGAGCGACCTGAAGAGCAGTGGTGTCGTCGAAGCTGCTGATTCTGAATACAATGCAGCCATCGTAATGGTCAAGAAGAAAGATGGCAGCTGGCGTCTGTGTGTGGACTATCGCTGGCTCAACGAAATCACTCAGAAGTCTCGCTACGCCCCACCTTTGATCGATCAATGTTTTGACTCCCTCCAGGCCATGTCGTGGTTCACGACGCTCGATGCGACGTCGGGCTTTTGGCAGGTCGAAGTCAGCCCAGAGGACAGACACAAGACGGCTTTCTCGGTCAACGGGCAGACACAACTGCAATGGATCCGCATGCCCATGGGTCTGTGTAACAGCGTAGCGACATTCCAGAGAATGATGGACAAAGCGTTAGCACCGGTGCTTTGGAAGAGTGCGTTTGTGTATGTCGATGACATAGTGATCTTCTCACGCACCTTTGAGGATCACTGCAGCCACATCCTTGAGGTCTTCCGACTGCTGCAGGCAGCCAACATCAAAGTGAAGCCAAGCAAGTGCACCTTTTTCGCGCGCAAGATATCCGTACTTGGCTTCATCGTCTCGAAAGACGGTCTGCAGACCGATCCAAAGAAGGTCGAAGGCATGATCAACCTGCCTGAACCAACAGACCAAAAAGAGCTGCGCAGCGTCCTTGGTGGTCTGCAGTTTTACAAGCGATTTGTGCATGGTTACGCTAAGCTGGCTCGACCACTCACTGACCTTACTAAGAAAGATGTGCCGTTTGAGTGGGGCGACGCCCAGCGAGATGCACTGCAGGCACTCAAGAGAAAGATGACAGAGGCACCTGTGCTGGTGTTGCCTGACTTTCCGAAGCCGTTTGTGCTTAAGACAGACGCGAGTGACTATGCGATTGGAGCAATTCTCTGCCAGCGAGACGACAAAGGGCACGAAAGACCGATCCATTACGTGAGCCGCGTCCTTGCCGTTCCTGAGCGCAAGTGGTCGGCCACAGAGAGAGAAGCGTTTGCCATCTTTGTCTTCGTGCGCTATTTCAGCCCCTACCTCTTTGGACGGCGATTCGAGTTGGTATCTGACCATCACGCGTTGAGAGCGTTGAAACACGCGGAAGGAAGTAACCGCAAGCTCAACAGATGGTCAGAGATGTTGCAAGACTATGACTACGTCTTTCGCCACCGACCTGGAGCACAACATGGAGACGTGGATGCAATGTCACGGCCTTCTGGCATGCAGGGAAACACTGAGCACGTACCTCTGACGAGTGACGAAGAGGCATATCAGTTGGGCGCTGTTGAGTCGCAATCGGTTGACGCCAATATCAATGCGGCTGAGCTAAGGTCCATGGATCCCAGTCCGCTGTTTATCTCGATGAGATCAAGAAAGCCCAAGACCAATGTGCCGAGGTCTCGCGCGTCAAGGCATACCTGAAGGCACAAGAGAGCAACGCAGCCAAGGAAGAGCTCGACCAGCTGCGCAATGCCATTCCCAGGGCATACAAGACACGCTTAAAGAGCCTCCGTTGCAGGCTCGACAGCGTTTGCTTACACAATGGGCTTGTATCGATCGAGTCGAAGCACCAAGAGCATGGCCCAGTCCTGCTCGTGCCCACGTCACTGAGGAAAGAGGCGCTGGTACTGCATCATGAGCACATCTTCGGCGGCCACCTGGCAGTCGAGAGGGCATACAAACGGATGGCGCGACAATACTATTGGCCTGGTATGTACATGGACCTTCGGAAGCATACAGAGGCATGTCAGAAGTGCCAAGGCAAACGGAACCTGCTGGCAAGCAAGAGAGCGAGCATCCAGACACCATCAGCCGAAGGGCCATTCCAGAAAGTGGCAATGGATTTCATCGGTCCCCTGCCGACCTCTCTGAGTGGCAACTCATTTGCGCTCACCGTCCAGGATACTTTTACCAAGTGGCCAGAGGTCTTCACGTTTTCGAAGGCACCTGGAACCGGCCCGACTGGCGAGGACGTAATCGAAGCGCTCATGGATATGATAGCGAGGCACGGGAAGATCGATGAGATAATCACTGATAATGGCTCGCACTTTGTCAATGAGGCGATGCGCGAAGTGACGGCCAAGCTGCTCATCAAGCACACAACAACATCACCGATGCATCCGCAGGCCAATGGGCTGATCGAACGCTTCAACCGTACCTTGAAGGATTGGATGCGCCCATATCTCAACAAGGAGCAAAGCAACTGGGACGATGCAATTTCCTTGGTCTTGTCCGCGTATCGTACGACGGAGCATGAGTCGACAGGATTCACGCCATTCAAGATGCTGTACGGCCGAGAAGCGGTGCATCCGAGCAGCACGGCAAGGCTTGTCGCGAGGAACGCAGAGCCAATCGACGTGAAGGAAGCCGTCGAGGCGATAAAAGAGGGTCTTCAAGCGGTCCACAAGAAAGCTCGTGAGACGATGAGCAAGAAGAGGCAGCAAGCCGCTGAGCGCGAGAAGGATTTGCCTGCACCAAGGCAATTCCAGGAAGGAGACAGAGTGCGCATATACAATGATCAAGTGCCTAAGGGTCTCAGCAGGAAGCTGGCCTCACCTTGGCGGACAGTCGGCATCGTTCAGGAGAAAAAAGGACCAGTCACCTACAAGGTCCGTGTGTGTGGCGACCAAAAGGCAAGGACCATTAATGTCGATCGGTTGAAGAGAGCACCACCACCAGAAGACGAGGGAGCGCCACCACCAGAGGACGGAATTGATATGAAGGAAAGCGACCTGAAGAGGGACAGGAGGCAGACAGTCTTCAATCAGGGCGCATTTTTGTCGCCTGGGCAAGAGAGTGTCTTGAAGGAGTTCGTCCTCCAGGAAGACCCCGTGCCGACAGCTCGAATGCAGAGAGCATCGGAGGCTACATTCGACCCGATAGCACATGATCCGAGCCTCAGAGACGTCCAACCAGACCAGCGATTTGAGCGTGGCGATCGATACGAAGTCGAGCAGGTCATCGGCAAGAGGACGCACCGCGGCAAGGTGCAGTACAAGCTCAAATGGCGCTGGTATCCGCTCTCGCACGCAACCTGGGAAGACGAAGAGAACCTCACATGCACAGAGCTCGTACAGGAATACGAGAACAGTGAAAACGTGCCTGACCTGGACGAGCATGCTTCGCTCTTTCCCGCGTTGTATTCTGTGGTGCGAGTCCGCCATGTAAAAGAGCTCAATCGCGAGCACACTGTCAAGGTGACGAGGTTGGACAAGGAAGGCATACAGCTACAATACCTGGAGGAACCGACGCGCACAAAGAGACTAAAGAAGGAGAGTCTCGTAGGACGGAAGCAGACGATTCCTTCGGCTAGCTTCCTTCGGAATTACCAATGGGAGAGAGAGTGTGACGATCCAGCTGCGCCTGCTCCATCTGGCGGCACAGCATAGCAACCGATCAGAGTGCGTGGACTGACGAGTTCCCAGCACTCTTGAAACACTACCTGAGAGATAACAACAACAGCAGCCACAGCATCCTTCTCTCTATGTGCATGAATGCGTGTGGGGGTGTGCTGCATGTGTGTGTGTGTGTACCTGTGTTGCTGCTGAGGGTGCGTGACTACATGACAAAACAAGTGTCTGCTGGTAAGAGTGGGTTGGGATTACATGATTACATGATTGCGCACGGGGAAGGTAGGAAGAGCGTGACGGAGGCATGCACAGGAGTGGCAGGGACGCACTAACAAACGGCCTGGGGACGTTGGCAAGGCAGGACTCTTGCTGAGCCCTGAGTTAACGGTTAGTGCTACACTGTTCCCAGCCGGGACCCACGTGGAGGTGTGTGTCGGCTCAGTGGTGCCCCGTGCGGGTAGGTAGAGCGTGTAGTTGGGAAAGACGTAGGGTCCGAACGGCATGACGTGCTTGTGAGCGAGTAAGCATGGACGTGGACGATGGACGCCCTGCGTCGCCTTTCACAACACGTCTACCTGCGAGAGAGAGGAGGATACGTGTTCATGTATGTGTTCGTGTTCGTGTATGTGTGCGTGTTTGTGCATGTGCGTGTATGTGCTTACGTGTCATGAGGGAGTGAGCACACTCAGGAGATAACAGTGGCAGCCAAATCAAGCCACACCTGCAGTCGGATAGAGGCAGTCCGACTGTGGCCACGATAGAGATTCGGTGTACCAACCATGTCAGTCAGCATGATGGAAGACGGGAAGAGAAGAAGGCGGCACGCCTTCGGGGTCGTCGGTGATCTGGCGCGCGATTTCACACCAACTCGTCTCGGTGCTGGAGCCGCGTCTGCTGCTGGGATGCTACTTCGCCTCGGTAGCATGAAGCTCGCCCAGCCATCACTTTGATCACCTCCCCTTGGCGCTGTATCGCTTGAACACTCTGTCCTTGACGCCATTGCGCTAGACAGGCTTGTAGGCACTGTGAATCCCAGCTCCGAAGAGCCCTGAAACGACACAGACAGACAGAGGGCGATTTGAGTGCACAGATCTCCTGACAATGTGACTGGGGGTGCTCACCTTATGTGTTGTTGTTGAGATGGCGATGCGATGATGCTGGAAGGTGAAGGCGGGACACCCACGACCGTCACCGTTGATGAGGACGCGCATCACAAGGAGGAGCAGAGGAGAAGAGGAGCCGAGGCAAGGGGGAGCCAGGCACCCGAACACTAGTCAGAAACAGAACAGCAAGAAGTCAGAGGCCATCGCCTTGCCTGAACAGCAGAGTCGCCATCGTGTTGTTGCATGATGAGGGGTAGTGAGTGACCACAATGGGTTTCTGTGGGGCTACGTACCCGAGAGGTAGCTGAGGGGATATCATCAGAAGGCGAATGAGGAAGCTGAGTGAGCTAAGCCCGCACGCTACAGTGTTTACAAACGGCCGGGAGAGCAGCTCCACAAACAACGAATCCCAAGCCCGCAAGCACACTCGCGAGGTGCTGCGAACGTCATATAGCTGTGGCACGAGTGATGACACACACGAATGACAGCTTCGTCAGGGTGTCAGGACTCCCACGCCTGAGAGGAAGACGCGCTGCACAGCAGCCGGTCCTGCATCCATGCGACGTCAATACGCAAACGAATGGTCATTGGTGGGTTGGGCCATTCGGATGGCGAAGCGGAGAAAGGTGTTCAAGTTGTTGTGTGGACAGCAGAGTCCCACAGATCACGAGCGTTGATAAAAGAGCGGCAGAGAGGTCCAACATAAACAAGCAGGCAGGCAAACACGAAGGCGAACACGAAAAGGCACGTGGCCTTGGCGAACTGGGCTATCGGCGACCCACGATGACATGCAGGCTGGCTGGGCTTATCGGCGACCCACTTACATGAAGGCAGAGGCAGGAAGACAGGCAGCAAAGTCAGTCAACGCTCCAGTGGCAAAACAGTAGGTAGAGCGCCATGACTCGTAAAACACATGCCAAAATCCCAACAAAAGGAGTTTTTGTCACTGTCTGTGGGTTTTCTCCTTCTGTAACTGAGGTGCATCACTCAGCGGATATGTTGATGTGAGATGTCCATATTGGCATGAAATGACACACAAACAGTTAACACACGAGAAGAAACATGACACTGAAGAGCATTTCGCCTCATCGTTGATGATATACCGCTGCGCTGATGAAGGGAGGGAGATGTTGACATCTCTCCCGTGTTCTGAAAATGAGCAGCTTTAGGGTAGCCGTTGTGAAACTGACAGATTAAGGCCGCCGCCCTTATTCTGTCCGGCGAGTTAGGGATGGACAAAACACGAGGAAGGTCGCGGGAAAACTGAGCCGAAGTGTATGTGTACGTATTGGACTTGTCAATCTTTGGTTCAATGGTGTTTATTGAAGTTCTTGTTCGCTCTGGGGTGGCCACCCGGGCCCTCTGGATCCGTCGTTCAAAGTTACATCACTCACCCATTCTACCACTAGACACCGCTCCATCGGCACAACCACAAGCCGACCCGGGAGCATAAAGTAAAAGCACTCTTACTGTGGGACTTACCGCCCAGCAGATCCTCTATTCAGCTAACTACAGGAAAGGTCCTCACCGGCCTTTTCGCACAGGTAGCATCGTGTGAGGCGATTTGGCGGCCATTCCTGAAGACCTGGGGAAGCTGAATGAAGAGGTGCTTGCTCGTGAACGACGATGCTGGCCGAGAAACCAAAAATCGGCTGCACTTGTGTGTGACTGAAGAGTGGGCGCAGACACCAAAGGGAGGTGGCAATGCGGACGACGCAGTATCGCCCCCTCCCCCAAAAGGTCAGTATCTATGAGTCAGTAGTCACAGGCAGAATAGAGCGGGTCGACCACAGACTGATTGAAGATGATGATGGCCGTCATGTAGGATTCCGGCACACAGATCTACTCGTCTGAGCGTTCTCTACTGCACGGTGAGCTGGTGGCCGTCACGCAGGATTCCGGCACACGGATCTACTCGTTCGAGCGCTCCTGTGTTTGCCTGGCAGGCGTGTTGGTGTTTCGTTTGGTCGCATTGCCGCCTTCTCTACTGCACGGTGAGCTGTTGGCCGTCACGCAGGATTCCGGCACACAGATCTACTCGTCTGAGCGCTCCTGTGTTTGCCTGGCAGGTGTGTTGATGTTTCGTTTGGCCGCATTGCCGCCTTCTCTACTGCACGGTGAGCTGGTGGCCGTCACGCAGGATTCCGGCACACAGATCTACTCGTCTGAGCGCTCCTGTGTTTGCCTGGCAGGTGTGTTGATGTTTCGTTTGGCCGCATTGCCGCCTTCTCTACTGCACGGTGAGCTGGTGGCCGTCACGCAGGATTCCGGCACACAGATCTACTCGTCTGAGTTGCCTGGCAGGCGTGTTGGTGTTTCGTTTGGTCGCATTGCCGCCTTCTCTACTGCACGGTGAGCTGGTGGCCGTCACGCAGGATTCCGGCACACAGATCTACTCGTCTGAGCGCTCCTGTGTTTGCCTGGCAGGTGTGTTGATGTTTCGTATGGCCGCATTGCCGCCTTCTCTACTGCACGGTGAGCTGATGGCCGTCATGTAGGATTCCGGCACACAGATCTACTCGTTCGAGCGCTCCTGTGTTTGCCTGGCAGGCGTGCTGGTGTTTCGTTTGGTCGCATTGCCGCCTTCTTTCACCGTGCTGATGGCCGCGACGCAGTATTTCAGCTTATACACATATGCTCCCACATGTGTGCTCCGGTATGCGGGTCTCCCCGCATTCATGTGTGTGCGCCATTGATCCGTGCATTCATAGCATCTGAGCACAAAGCTTTTGTCGTGCCCATGCTGCGCGTGTCCTTGCGTGTTTTATCGTTAATTGATACGTCGACGGATGGGAATGCAGTGAGTGTCTATACAGCGTACAGGGCATGCATATACAGGTTTTGTGACAGAAAAGCAGCAGAGCTGTACACTCATGGCTCAAAATGACTGCAAGATGATGAAGCACCCCTCTGTGAAAGAGCGGACCGATGAAAGGGTGACTCCATGGAGAAATAAAGGCATTTTGATTGTCATCTTCTGAGATGAACCATTCTCGATGGCGATTTGCGACCAAAAAGGCGAGTTTGCTTGCCGAGGTTGAGTCACGCTCTCACGCGAGGCAACAAAGGCCCATTGGTGACTCACAGGAGGGTCCGCTGAGTCATCTGAGACATCTGATGACATTCATCCAGCCCACACCTTTGTGCGGGGCTGATGTCCCCCTCCCCTGCCTTCCCCTCCCCTCCCCTCCCCTCCCCTGCCTTCCCCTCCCCTTACACCCATCAGCCTACCC